GTGATTCCTTGAGGAGACTTCATCTCTCAATGGAATCAAATGGGGGATGTCAGAAATGAGTATTCCTTTCTTGTATTCAATAACTAATTGTTGTATTAGGACCAAATATTTCCCCTTTTCTACTTCCTCATCCAGAAACCAACCAGTGTGAGAAACCTTTCTAAAATACTTATCTAGCCAGAATGACTGAGATCTAATCAAAGATAATAAAAGAAATTCTAAGTGTGGGCTAATGGATAAGTTCCTGTTCATTGTGTTTGCTCAGACAGGTCTGGGAAGTGTTGATTCTCTCTTTTGTCAGACAGATGTTGTGGAAATTGGTAAGTCTTTTTGATCAAGATTTGGGTGACTCAAGTCATATACTCCAGGACCCTCATTGTAATATAGCCCAGCCCTTATTGTAATATTCATTTTCTCATTAATAGTTAACCAATCAGAGTTGATTGCCTCTCTCAGGAATGCCTACCCTTTCAAGGACATAAAAACTGTGAGTCCACCATCCTTAGGGGTCTTTTGTCTAAGAGAGACAGTCAAGTGACCATTCTTTTATTAAAATACTGTCATTATTAATAAAACGATTAAATTACCCAGAAACTATGTCTCTCAAACCTTTTTAAATGTCACAAAGGTAAGACCAAGCAAAGCCAACCACTCTACCTGAAAGGGCAGCAGGAACAGAATCCAACCCTAATACAGAACCCTAACTCATAAATTAAAGGGATGGGGAGAATGGGAATCAAACTAACCTCATTCTTTTCTAAAATGGTCAAAGGACAGTCTAACACAGACATACACAAACAATTTGTTGTAGAAATATATCAAACTCTGGGGCAGCTAGGTGGCACAGTGGATAAAGCTCTGGCCTTGGAGTCAGGAGATCTGGCCTTAGACACTTGACACTAGCTGTGTGACCTTGGGCAAATCACTTAACCCTGATTGCCTCACCAAAAAAAGAGAAAAGAAAAAAAGAAAGAAAGAAAAGAAAAGAAAGAAAGAAATGTATCAAACTCAACAGGGAAACAAGAGAGGGTAGAGAAGTGGGGGGTAGATATAGAGTAATAGTGGGGTGAGAATAGTCATAAGCTGAACAACCTTTTTTTTTCCCTAAAGAGGGATTAAAGAGTTGAAGGTGGGGAGTTGAGTAAATCAAAAAAAGACACCAACCAACATCCAAAATTTATTGCAAATATAGAGATTCTTCTCCTCCCCCAATAAGGAAAGAGTTACCCTGGAAAAATGGGAAAGAAAGGGGAAAATAGATTTTCTGCAAGAATTATCCAAATACTAGAAAAAATTAATCAAGTTATTAAAAATGAGATAAAAGCTCTGTAAGAAAGAATTAGAAGAGGAAAAAACAGCTTAGGAGAGAAAGTGATTCAATCTTACCCAAGAAACGGATCCCTAAAACCTAGCACACACCAAACAGAAATCAATGACTCAAGACAAGAAGAAATATTAGAAGAAAATCAAAAATCTGAAAAAAAGAAGAAACTTGAAGTTTTTATTTTAAATTCTGACCTGAAAAATGGGTCAAGAAAAAGTAGTTTAAAAATCATTGGATTCTCTGAAAAACAAAATTTGAAAAGGCCTTGTATATTACTATTTAAGACATCATAAATGAAAGTAGCCTAGATCTATAAATTAAAGAAAAAAAGAGTTCACTGGTCTCCTCCTGAAAGGAACTCTAAAAAGAATAGTCTCAGGAATGTCATAGCAAAAATCCAAAGCTCCTTGGCAGCTTCTATTATAAACAAGATCTAGGCTTGTAACCTGTAATAATTTACTCTGAAAAGTTGACTATAATCCTACTTGGAGAGGAGAGGTTGTGGGGGGTGGGGGAGGGAGCATGAGACTTTAGTGGAATAGACACTTTCAATAATTTCTTATGAAAAGTCCACACTTGAATAGGAATTTTGAAATACAAACACAAGAATCAAGAGAAATCTAGAAGGGTAAATTTATTTCAGCAATTGAAAGGAGCTGCATGTTGGTGTAGCACTTACATTCTAATAAGAAGAAAAGAAAGAAATGTTCAGAACTTCAGTGACTTCAAGGGTACTAAATTAGAAAAATGGAAGTCATAAGGGGAGGGCATATTGGTTCTGTTCTAAAGGTGAAAGGAATGCATTAGAATAAAATGGGGGAATAAGGGGTTGTAAAAAGAGTGCATAAACTTGCAAAAAGGGATGGGGAAAATGGAAATCAAACTAACCTCATTCCTATCTAAAATGGTCAAAGAAGAGTCTAATGCAGACACATGAACAATTTGTTATAGAAATACATGAAACTCAGCAGGGAAATAAGAGAGGGTAGAGAAGTGGGGGGGTAGAGATAGAATTATAGTGGGGTAAGAATAGTCATAAGCAAAACAACCTTTTTTTTTCCCTAAAGAGGAATTAATGAGTTGAAGGTGGGGAGGGAAAAAATTAACAACAAATGACTAGAATCTATGATGATACTTTAGATCACCTCTTAGACAATTGGGAAATGGCTGAACAAATTGTAGCATATGGATGGAAAATATTATTGTGACATAAGAAAAAATAAAAGAAACAAATCCAGAGAATTCTGGGTAATATGAACTGATGCAGAGTAAATTGAGCAGAATCAATTTATACAAGGATGATAATAAGGATGGCAATGATGGCAAAGAAAAATATATCTTTTAAAGAAATAAGAACTCTGATCAATGCAATGACCAATCATGTCCCCAGAAGAACAATGACATGTAGTACCTACCTCCTAACAGAGGGGTAATGGACACAAATGCAAAAAGAGATATGCATGTTTGGATATGGCCAGTGTAGGGATTTATTTTGCTTGAGTATGCTTATTTATTACAAGGATTTTTTTCTTTCTGTTTTTAATTTGGGGAGTGGGGGTGATGCAAGGGGAATTAAAAATAGTGATAAAAAAACCATTGTAGCTTTATTTTAAAATGAACAAAGGACATAAGGGTGTACAGACAAGCAGGATAATTTGGAAAATAATGTGTAGAATTTATCAAATACTTTTTTGTAAAGCAAGCAGTAAGAAATAAGATTCATGATTTCATACAGAATCACATTTTTGTGTTTTGCTGTGCATGTGGAAATGCTTTTTTCTTTTGATATTTTGGTAAGCTTAAAACAATTTTTATAAAAGAAATAGAATGTATGACATACACAAATTAGTAGCAAATGTCACAGAGATAGCCTCAGAGCTTAGAAGAAGGGGAAATGAGGAGCTCACTGGCTGAGATGTATTTCTTGACCCCTTTCTCACCTCCCCAGCAGCTGCCATTAAGCTGAAGTTACATATTTCACAAGAGAAGACTTTAATCTCAGGTGTCCGAGTCCTACCTGAGCCCCAAACTGAGCTCTAGCACAAGATTCCTGCTCTCTTCCCCCCCCCCCCACTCCTCCAGGATCTCTGGGAATCTCCACATCTGGTATCTACCCGAGACACCAGCGTGTGAGAAGAAAAAGTATTTTTTTTTGTTTGTTTGCTTTTAATTTCTTTTTTTCTTGTTTTTTTAAATGTTTTAAATGTATTGATAATTTGTACATATCATTTACAAGGTCCTTATGTTTATTAGAATTGTTATTTTGACAATTTCTGTACATTATTTAGAAGTTCCCCAATATGTGTGAAAACATTCTTTCTTGTTTGTATTTATTTTGTAAAGAAATATTACTGTTTACTAAAGTAACATATTCAGTGATGTACAGTTACTTGTTCTCAATTATGATTTTGTATCACATTTTGTTAATTTACCCACTGGTCAGAAACATTTTTGCATCAAAATATCAAGACAATAACCACAACATAATAACAACCTTCAAATCTTTAGCAGTTGAAGTTCTGTTGTGCTTAAGTCTTTCTCTAGGCCAGATATGATCTCACAAAAACACCAACAAAGCTGGGTGTCAAAAAAGTCAAGGAAGACACACAGTGCCACCTTCTCTGCAGCTCTCCATCCAATAACCATGGCCTAATGTTCCCCATTCCTTTCTTCTATCAGACACTGGAGCCAAGAGATGGGAGCTATGGAAACCAGAATTTTGTTGTTGAATAAAAGGAAAATCCCAGCAATTTTGTGAAGAAAATTAGATTTTTCTGAAGAATTTCAATTATTGTGGGTTCTTCAGAATAGTACTCCAGTCCACACTGTCCTTTCCTGGAAGTGCTGGCTGTTTTTGTGTTAACAGGCAGAGAGCAAGGCTCCTAATTCAGTCTGTGTTGCTATCACTGAGCACAGCTATTATAAACATGGAAATTTGCTCTGGTGGGCATGGCTCTTAGAACAGGAAAGGGATGGGGGAGGGGGGAATGGAGATTTAAAATTTTAAAAAACCCTCTTAAAAATAAAAAAAAATACAAAAACATTCAAAATCAGTGACCAGAACTGCTAGCTAAATGATATCCTAGTTTAAACATTTTTCCTTGGAAAAAAAATGTACTTCTCCTAATGGAATAATTGCTTCCCTATCTCTTCCCCCATGTTAGGGCTGCTTGCAGCTAATGTTGGGGCAATATCGGCCAAACCATATGCACAGTACGAGTGCACTGACTCACCTGACTGAGCCCACGAAGCTTTATTCTGTGCCTTCACACACAGCTCTAAGAAACTGCTCTGTAGGGCCATAAAAATATGGTCTACACCAATAAAGAAGTACAGGAAAAACAAAACCCAAACATTTTTAACTTAGTTTAAAAAATAAAATACCCTGCAAAAGTTTTCTGCCAGGGGCAGCTAGGTGGTGCAGTGGATAGAGCACCAGCCCCGGATTCAGGAGGACCTGAGTTCAAATGTGACCTCAGACACATAACATTTACTAGCTGTGTGACCCTGGGCAAGTTACTTAACCCCACTACCTAACCAAATTAAAAAAAAAAAGTTTTCTTCCTGTTTTCAGCCTGGGTTTCCATTTGCTGAAAAATCCATATTTTCTAAGGGCCCAGGCCATTGCAGAGGAGGAACTCTTGGTCAACCTCAGGCTCAGAGATTTCACAAGTGAAGGGTCCTCAGTAGGAGCTCTTCCCCTCGCCTTTGAGCTCAGCACTTCTGCTCCCTCTACTTCCCCTATTTCCCCCATAAGGACTCTCTTTCTCTGTTCCCTTAGTTCTTCTTTCTTCTCAGAGAATCAGAAGCAGTAAGAGAAGAGTCAGCGTACTGCCCCTTGTACTGCCTCCCCAGGTTCCAGACTGAGGAGGCATGAGGTGAGGTGTCCTTACCCCCTAAATGCCTGAAGAGGTCCAGAATGGCCAGAGAAGCCCCACTGCTGCTGTTCCTGATGTCACTGGGAATCTCAGGTGAGGAGGAAAGGCATGGAGGAGGAAAAGGGAATGAGAAGAGAAGGGAGTGAGATCAGGCAACTGTGCAGACACGTCAGGGGGCAGAGAGGGAGGCTATCTGGGGAGCCTGGACTGCTTCTACAGAGCATAATCTGGGGGAAGGAGGCTTCCTGAAGAGACTAGGTCCCCTCTTATCCTAGTTTCCTCCAGTCAGACCAGGGAGAGGGTCTTGAGCTGTAACCCAAACTTCTGCTGACCTGAAGCTGTGCTCTGCAGGCTCCCAGGAAACAAGAAGTTTGGATGAGAACTACTTAAGAAAAGAAGGGCAGATGTTGAATGTAAGCTGCTCGTATCCTCTCAAGGACCATGAGAAGTCTTGGAAAGTTTGGTGTAAACTACAAGAGAATAGAAAGGATTGTAACAAATTAGTGGTCATAACAAAATTCTGGGTTTTCACCAAAGAAGGTAAATTCTCCCTTCAATTAATTGATGAGTCTAAGTCTGGCCACATCATCATCATAATGTCAGGACTCAGGGAAAAGGACTCAGGACATTACTGGTGCATGACCATCAAGAAAAACAATGCCATTATCCTCAAGAGAATCCACCTGGTAGTGTCTCCAGGTAAGACCATTTCAACTCAAATCTCAATGAATTCAGAAAAATTTTATTAATCACTTTCTAAAAGCAAGGTCCTTGGATGGGAGAATCAAGCCTCCTTGGGATTCCCAGATAGGACGGTTTTCTAGTCCTTTATTCTGCTCTCCTCTACCCTACTCCTCTCCACTTCCCCCTGCTCTCTACACTCTGAGATTAGAAAGAATTGGGCTACCCATCCTCGAGGTGAGTCATCTCCTTGTTTCTTTGAAAAAAAATCTTTGTGGGGTTCACTGGGGTCCAGGGAGACACACACACACACACACACACACGCACACACACACACACATTGCATTCATGCAATAGCAAGCATGCTTAGCAAATCTGTGATAGCTCTTGCATTTGTTAGCTCAAAGGAGAAAAATTAGTTTTTTAAACACAAAATGGTAAATAAACTTTTTAAGAAGCAAGGATGAATTCCTCCCAAATCCCAGAGAAACATTAGGTTCCAAGGAGAATGTACTTGCACTATTAGAAGACAGAGTGAGAACAGAGAAAGGAAAATAAAGCTAACTGGGATCAGTCTCCAACCTGAATGGAGTTTATCCATGAAGGATCTGCCCCATGTAGTCTACGCATGCTTCATCCACATTGTCTTGGCTCTGCAGTTTTGATCACTGAAGATTTCCCCTCTGTTCCACATAACAGCAGGTCCTTCATGGTGTCAGTTTTAATGGCTCCAGGTCAAAAAAGGATAAGCTAGTAAATCAAGGTTATCTCTTCTGCCAGCCCCAAGATCAGGACTCTTTAGGTTGAAGAAGAGGAAGCTAGCAAATTTTTGCTCAAAACTCTGTCTCTCTCTGTCTCTCTGTCTCTGTCTGTCTCTCTTTCTCTCTCTGTCTGTCTGTCTGTCTGTCTGTCTCTCTCTCTCATGCACACGCACATGCACAATCACACACAAACTTGCTTCATTCTACCCTCTAGACCCTCTCTCTTGGAAGCAGTGGAGCCACAGCTGGAACTGAAGGAGATACCACTTGTCTTCATGTCATCAGATTCAGCCATCTGCTGAGGACAGGGAGAGCAGCCCCAATGAAATATTTAACCAAGCCATCTGGGATGGCAGAGCATTATGACAAAAAGAACAAAATAATAAAATACTAGAAAATACACAAGGAATGATATAGGATACAATATAGTATGAAACAATATAATATGAAATACAGTGCTTTGCTATAGTGCATAGTATTTTGTAAAAGGAACTATCTACCAATAGCTCCTGAGAAAGGACAGATGGAAGGCAGGAAGGCAAGTGTCTCTCCCACATGTTTCTCTCACTGTCTTCTTTTTGTAGCCCAGAACACCACCAAAGAGATTTGGACTACTTCAGGAGTCCCTTCCAACACTCCAGCCACCTGCAGGTACAAATATTTCCCTGTGACCCGTAAGCCCCCTGTCCAGCATTCCCTGTATTCCTCCAAGTCACTTATCCATGTGTTTTCCTAAGCTAAATTTATCTAGATTCTAATTTCACTGACCTGTGTTCAGTCTTATTGAGCACCTCTCTTCTCCATGCGAAGAAAAGAGAGCCAGGAAGCCCAAGGTAAGTCTGGAGAATATGTCCTTAATATTTCCCCCACTTAAGTTTCCTGTGACCTGAATTCATATTCTTTCCATGCCACAGTCCAGTGTGCTTGATGTGATGTGGAAAGCTCCTCTCCCTATTTCCCCTCTGATCCATCGCCAGTCATCTGCTTATCACACCTGTCTAATCTTGAGATAATACAGACAAACCAGGTCAGACATATGAGGGACTGGTCACCAGTTAGTAATCAAAAGCAAAGGAGATTCCCTCCCAGTCAAGCAGAGGAGCCCCCACCCCAGACTTCCTGCCTGCCCACCTGCACCCAAGAGCTTTCCTTTATTCCTGACTTAAAGGAACCAAGCCCAGCAAAATGGTGTAGTATAGAAAGTACAGGGTAGGATGAGATTTCTGTCCTCTTAGCACTCCAGTTAACAGCTATGAGAGATTAGGGAAGTGTCTAGAAAGGATAGAAGATGACAGCTGCTTCTTTCCTGGGTAGGTGCTGTAATAATAATAGTTAGCATTTACATAGTATTGTAAAGTTTACAAAGCACTTTACATACATTTTCTCATTTGATCCTCTTAACAACTCTAGGACCTAGGTACTATTCATCCTCATTTTACAGTTGAGTAAACTGAGCAGACAAAGGTTAAGTGAGCTGCCCAGAGTCACACAGCTGGTAAGTGTCTAAGACTATATTTGAACTCAGGTCTTCCAAGATCCAGGCCCAGTGATCTATCCATTAAGCCACCAGAGATGATCTAATCCAACCTTTTCATTTTAAAGATGATGAAAATGAGACCCAGGGAGGAAAAAGTGAACTGCCCAAAGTTCTACTCCCTTCCTTTATGAGTTACTAGTAGACTAGAACTAAAACCCAGATCTCCTATCTCCTAGTCCAAGGTTTTCTTAGCATATTATATTGTGTAAGCATGTTCTCTGAGCTCTTCTGTAAAGCCTGTGTGCCTTTAAAACATTTACCTTGGGATCTGTCATGGTGCTTGAAATTCCACCTCGAGGTGTTGCCTTGGGCAGCAAAGGAGGAGGGAAAAGTCTCCCCATTAAATTAAGGCTTTGGCTTAAGACAGGGCTTTAGAAGGACTCTGTGAACATATGCTTGTTCTCTTCAGGGGCAATATTCATACCCGTTATCATTCAATAAGTTTTAATTAAGTGCCTCGTATGCCAGTCACTGTCCTAGGTACTAAAGATAGAAAAGTAAAAAAGAGAAACAATTCCTACTCTCTAGAAACTTCTGCTCAATCATGGGAGACAACATCTATATGGTATATGTATGTATATGCATGCACATATATACATATACACACAGACACTATATATGCATGTATGCATATACTTATTTAGGCATACACAGAATAAACATAAAATAAATACTAGGTAATGAAATACGAAGTAATTAGGGAGTATGTGCACTAGCAGTTGTGGAAGTGGTGCTTGATCTACTTTTTAAAGGCTGTGAGGGATGTTGTTAGGCAGAGGTAGAGAAGGAGTGCACTTCATCCATGAGAGATGGAATGTCCAAGTAAGGATTAGAAAAATAAATGATAGTTTGGCTGCATGGTATAGTGTGGAAAGGGAAGTAATATATGTTGAAACTGGAAAGGTAGATTGAGACCAGGTTGTAAAAGGCTTTAAAAATCAAATAAATGAATTTATATTTTATCCTAGAAGCAAAAGAGAATCACTGAAGTTTATTGAATAGAGGAATGACAGTCAAATCTGTACTTAGGAAAATTCATTTGGACAACAATGTGAAGATGGACCAGAGTAAGCAGAACCGTGAATCAGGGAAATTGATTAGGAGGTTACTACAATAGTCTAGGTATGTGGTAGGAGACAGCTGAGTGGTGCAGTGGATAGAACACTGGGCCTGAAGTCAGAAAGACTCATCTTTATGAGTTGAAATCCAGCCTCAGACACTTCCTACATGTGTGACCCCGGGCAAGTCATCTAATCTTTTTTGCCTCAGTTTCCTCATCTGTAAAATGAGTCAGAGAAAGAAATGGTGAACCACTCCAGTATCTTTGCCAAGAAAACCCCAAATGGGGTCATGAAGAGTCAGACATGACTGAAAAATGATTTAACAAAAGGTAGGTATAATGAGAACCTGAACTAAAGTTATAGCTATGGGAAAAGAAAGAGGGATAAGTTGAAAGAGCTGTTGTGGAGGTGGAAATGACAACATTTAGAAAGTGAATGAATATGTGAAGTTGACTAAGTCAAGGATAATGCCAACATCACAAACCTGAGAGACAAGAAGAATGGGAGTGCCCTTGAAGGAAACAGAAATTTGGATATATCATCTCCCCTGTTAGGATGCAAGCTCTATAAGGACAGGAACTGGTTTTGCTTTTTCTTTGTATCTCTAGCTCTTAGCAGTGAGTGGCACATAGTAAATGCTTAACAAATGCTTTTTGAGTAATTGAAGTTTCGTAAAAGGGTATGTTTGTGGGGGTGGGGGGAGGAAGGGAGATAATGAGTTCTCTTTTGGACTGCTTGAGTTTAAAATGTTTCCAGTCTGGAAAACTTGCAATGTTCATTAGACAATGATTCAAGCCTGGTGCTCAGGAGAGAAACAGGCTGAATATATAGATCTGTGAGTTGTTTGCATAGAGATGATATTTAAATCTGTGGGAGTTGATATACTAACAAAGAAGGAAAGAAGGTCCAAAAGAGACCCTTGGAGTATACCCATATTTAAGGGGCATGATACAGATAATAAGTGAGCATAGGAGTCTGAAGAGAAATAAACAAAAGGTAGAAGGAGAGCTGGGAGAGAGTGGTTTCACAAAAACCCAGAAAGGAGAGAATATTTAGGAGGGGGAGATGGTCAATGGAGTTAAATGTAACACACAGATTAAAAAGGATGAGGCCTTTGAAAACACCATTAGATCTGGTGATTAAGAGATCATGGATGACTTTAGAGAGACCAGTTTTAGGAAATGACACTTTGGATAAAGTTGGAAGCCAGTTTGTAAAGGCACAAGAGAAAAGGTGAAGTTGAGACAACAGGTGTGGATAGCTTTCTCTAGGAATTTGACAGAGAAAGAGAGAAGAGACATAGGATAATAGGTTGAAGGGACGATAAATTCTAAAGAAGGATTTTTTTTAAATGGGGGAGATGAGCAAATTTGAAGGCAGCAGAAAAGTAACTGATAGGAAGAAATTGAAGGTCAGAGAGAAAGAAGGAATGATTAAAGGACCAATGAAGAAAACAAGAAAGGACAGATTAAGGGCATATGTAGAGAGGCTGTGCTAGAAAAGGGCCACTTCATCAAAAATTGGAAGAGGAAAGCCTGGAAGATGAAGTCAAGGAGCTTTGAGAAGAAGAGAAGGTGAGTAAAGGCAGCATTTGAAGAAGGCCTTAGTTTTTTTCATTAAAAGAAGAGGCTAAAACCTCAGCTGAGAATGAAGGTTAGGAGCCATCATAGGAAGACTGAGGAGAGGAGAGAAGAGAAGATTTGGAATAGCTACTGTAGGGAGTCAAATAGGAAATTAATTAGAGAGAAATGAAAATATTTTGCATCCATAAGGTCCCAGTTGACATTAAATAAGATAAAGACAGCTCAGTTTTTGTGACTTTTTCCAGTTCCTTTCATCAGCATGAGTAGGAGTGTAAGAGGTCAATGGTGGGAGTAAACTGGGGTTGGGATATAGAAAGAATTAAACCATGAGAGGCAAAGGATTCATGAGCAGAAGCTGATGTGGCATCAACCCAGGCCAGCTGGCTTGAGATTCTGGAAAAAGAGAAGTGATATCAGGAATCCGGAAGTGACTGTGGGTAGCTACAGTGTGTTCTGACATCTTCTCCAGGACCAGTGTGATTAGGTGGAGGGTGGGAAGAGATGATATGGGAGAAGGTATAGCCAGTGTTGGAGAGGGTGGCCTTGAGTGCTATATTATCTGGGGAGGCCCTGTCCAGAATGAAAGTTTATTCATTATGGAATAGGAATTCCAAAGGCAGAGTGGAAAGGGAGATCACAGTTGGAGTGGGAAGGGAAGGGCTGAAGAAGAAAGAATGAGAAAAGAGGAAGTAGGAATCAAAACCATTTACTTCTAGGCAGGCAGCAATTAATAAAGATAGAAAAAGGTAGAGTTTACAAGGCATAAAGTGAGCAGATGGTGACAAGTGAATAAGAATACTTAGTCTCTGGAGTTTTATGATGGAGACCTTCCTAAACTATCTCTAAGCCTATGACCTTATGACAGGATAGGTAAGTTTTGGTGAGAAGAGGATACTGGGAAAGGTTCGGAATAAGAGGAACTGCTTTAAACTAGGAGCTAAGCACTGAAATAGAGAACTCTTGGCAGCTAAGGGCAAACAGAAGGAGGAATCTGAGATCACTGGAGACCAGTGGGAAAAAAAATCACAAAAGGTGGTAAGAGGCTCCTAAAGCCAAAATCTACCTATTCTCACTGAATAATTTGATTTCCCATAGTTTGGATCTCTCTCTCTCTCTCTCTCTCTCTCTTTCTCTCTCTCTTTTTTCCTTCTCACCTGACACATCTCTCTTTCCATAAGTTTCTTAGAAAAGGAGAAATTCCTCATTTTGGGTGTGGTCCTGACCTTCCTGCTCCTATTAGGGGTCCTTATTACAGGAACTGTGTACATCAAGAAACTCCACCAGAAAGTCAAGAAAGGTAAGAGAGAGAAAACTCTCACCTCTCTCTCTCTCACTTTCTGCCTCTCACTGCCCTCATGCTCCACACCCTCACATCTTTCTAGCATTTACGTCCCAGGGGCTGGGGAAAGATGACCCAGGATGGATTCTGTAGAGCCTCTGGGCCATCCCTATGCTGATCCCTTTATATTTCTCTCCTGTGACACACTCGTTCTACTTTGTTATGGTTAAAGTTTGCTTATCCTCTTGGTAGACTGTGAACTTCTTGGGGCCATAGACTGCATCTCATTCATCGCTGTAACTCCCTCAGGGCTTGGTAACACAGGCCTTTTACACATATGTTCATAAATGTGGCAGCTAGGTGGCACAATGGATAGGGCTCCAGGTCTGGAGTGAGGAAGACTCTTCTTCCTTAATTCAAATCTGGGCTCAGATACTTACTAGCTGTTTGACCTTGGGTAGGTCACCTGTTTGTCTCAGTTTCCTCACCGGTAAAATGAGCTAGAGAAGGAAATGGCAAATTACTCCAGTATCATTGACAAAGAAAAACCAAATGGGGTGGTGAAGAGTTAGACATGATTGAAATGACTGCATGACAACAACAAAAGTTTATAAACATGCCTTAAATGAATACACAGACCTTTCAAATCCAAAAGGTTTCTTTTTAAATTCACTGAGTATGTCACAAATATTTGCATGGATATATAAAATATGGGATCTTTCTCTTCCCTTTCCCCACTTTCTCCAGGCCACTGCCCACAATTCAAATAAATTCAACTCATTTAATTCAATTTAATTCCACAAACATTTGCTAAGTGCCTTCTATGAACACAGCGATTGGCAGTGGAGCTCATGAAAAGATATGATACAGACTTACAGTATAATGGGGGAAAGGCGTGAGCCCGAATAATTATCATACAAGCTCCTTACAAATAGGGATTGTTTCTTTGTGCTTGTATTTTCAGTATCTGGCACATAGTAGGTGCTTAAGAAATGTTTCTTGATTATATTTGTTTGCATATTGTCTCCCCTATTAGATTGTAAGTTCCTTGAGGTCAGGGACTATCCTTTGCCTCTTGTTTGTATTCCTGGTACTTAGTAAGCATTTAATAAGTGTTTATCGATTGATCAGTTGATTGTCAGTTGATACAAAGGAAAGTTATATAAGGGTAATAGAATGGTTTATTCATAATGTGCTGAGGAAATTAAAAAGGAGGACTCTCCCTTTCAGCTGGTTTTGGAGAGGGGAAAAGTTGGAGAGGGGGGAGATGGAAAGCTTCACAGAGGAGGTGTCACTTGACTTGGGCCTTGAAGGAAGGGAGAGACTACAGCAGATAGAAATGGGCCTGGACCTGGGTCTGGGGAGTGCTATTGCAGGCAGAGATAACAGAATGAGCAAAGACATGCAGACAGAAGAAGGCAGGATGAGAAAGGAGGGAAAGGTCCAGGTTGTTTGAAACATAAAATAAATGAAAAAGAGTACTAGGTAATGAGCCTAAAAAGGTGGATCAGAGTCAGATGGTGCAGAACCTTAAATGCCAGGTCAACATTATTTGTTGACAATAGGGATCCATGGAGGCTTTCAAGTGGAAGAATGACATAAAACACCTACAGATACTCTATGGATATTAATACCCTATTACTTTTAATAGGTTAAGGTTAATTTAATTAATTTTAATTATAATATTATTTATCATGTATATTCTATATTTGTATGTATTTATACTATACATAATATTATGTTATAACAATATATAATGGTATATAATATATTTAAAAGAGATAACTTATTTGTTGTTCAGTCAGGTCCTACTCTTCATAACCCCATTTGAAGTTTTCTTGGCCAAGATATTAGAATGGTTTCCCATTTCCTTTTTCAGATGAGGAAACTGAGTAAAGTGACTTGCCCAGGATGACACAGTTAATAAGTATCTCAGGCCAGATTTGAACTAAGGAAGATAAGTCTTCCTGACTCTAGGCCCAGCACTCTATCCACTGCACCACCTAGCTGCCCTAGATAACCTATTACTTTCCCCAGTTGGGTCCTCTTCACTGCTACTGTTCCTACCAATTTCAGGGAATGAAACACAGGAATGTGAAGTTTTGAACGGATTGGAGGCAATAGTGAAAAGCAAAAGAAAGGGTAAAAGGAAGGAAATAAGCATTTATTAAGCACCCATGTGCCTAACACTGTGGTGACATCTTTAAAAAATATTTCATTTAATCCTTACAACAATGCTAAAAGATAGCTGCTATTGTTATCACCATCTTCTAAGTGAGGAACTTGAAGCAGACAGATGTCCAGGGTCACAAAGCCACTAAATATCTGAGGGCAGATTTGAGCTCAGGTCTTCCTGACTCTAGGTCTGGCGCTCTATCCACTGCACCTACCATAGAAAGCATCAATCAATCAATAAACATTTATTAACCTCTGATGATGTGCCATTGCTATGCTAAATGTGGCCCACTGTCTGTGGTATGCATTCTGAAGATGAGGGTGGAGACAATCAGACCTAGGCAAACAGAGGAAGAGGAGGGGTAGAACATCTCCTCTCAACTTCCCCATAAGGAGTCTGGCTGCTAAAGGTGTGTGTTTTGGCAGGTGATGATTTCCATCAAATGAGCAATGACTTTGAGAACAAGAGGCAAAAATCTAGGGTAAGTAAAGCTAACCATTTTTTAATGGTTAAACATTAAACATGCCTACCTATAAAGGGCTTCCTCTTTTTCATCTGTATTATCTCAGCCGACCCACCCTGGAGCCCTGTACTGTGGACAGGATGGGGTTTATCCCCACATCTCAGAGTAGATTCTAGGATCTTAGAATTTAGAGGTAGAAGGGAACAGAGAGATTTGCTTAGTTCAACCCATTCATTTTAGAAGGGAAGGATTTTTTTAAAACTTTAGTAACATTTTATTTTTTATTCCCAATTACATGTAAAAACAATTTTTAACATTCATTTTTTAAAATTTTGAGTTCTAAGTTCTCTCCCTCCCTCACCTCTCCCTGAAATGATAAGCAATTTTTCTAAAGGTTATATATGTACAATCATGCAAAGTATATTTCTGCATTAGTCATGTTGTGAAAGAAAACACAGGCCAAGAAATAAAAAGCCATCAAAAAATTAAATGAAAAATAGTATCTGCATTCAGACTCCATCAGTTCTTTCTCTGGAGGTGGATGGCATTTTTCATCATGGGTCTTTTGGGATTGTCTTGGATCATTGCATTGCTGAGAATAGCTAAGTCATTCACAATTCATCATTCTTACAATATTGCTATTACTATGTTATCATGTTCTCCTGATTCTGCTCACTTCACTTTGCATCAGTTCATGTAAGTTTTCCAGGTTTTTTCTGAAATCATCTTGCTCATGCAATAGCACAATACTGTTCCATTACAATCGTATACCACAACTTGTTCAGCCATTCCCTGATAACCCCTCAATTTCCAATTCTTTGCCACCACAAAAAGAGCTGCTATAAATATTTTTTTACATATAGGTCCCTCCCATCTTTTTAAAAATCTCTTTGGGATACAGACCTAGTAGTGGTATTGCTGGATCAAAGGATAAACACTATTTGATAGCCCTTTGAGCATATTTCCAAACTGTTCTCCAGAATGGTTGGATCAGTTCACAACTCCACCAACAGTGCATTAGTGCCCCAATTTTCCCACATCCCCTCCAACATTTATCATTTTTCTTTCTGATAGATGTGAGGTGGTACCTCAGAGTTGTTTTAATTTGCATTTCTCTAATTAACAGATAGCTTTGATTAGAAGAGAAGAGTCTAAGGTTCAGAGAGGTGAACAGAACTGACTAAGGTCACACAAAAAGTTAACTGCAGAATGAAAACTTCTGTCCATATTTCCTGACTCCCAGTATTGCACTCTTTTGACTACAGTAACCTCTGTCCAGAGCTAAAAACAAAACTCAATTTATTTACCAAAAAGTCATCTTCCTCATTCTTTAATCTTTGAGTAAGATGAATCTTCTCCCTTCCTAGTCCCAAGGACCCAGTTGGAGATAGACCTGCCATCTAAAGGAAGGAGATCTGTCATTTTTATCTATTTTTTGGTGAAGCAGTTGTGGTTAAGTGATTTGCCCAGAGTCACACAACTAGTAAGTGTTATGTATCTAATGCTGGATTTGAACTCAGGTCCTCCTGACTCCAGAGTCAGTGCTCTATCCACTACACCAACTAGCTGCCCCAGATCTGTCATTTTTTAAAAAAAATTATCTAAAATATTTCTCAAAACAGTAAAAGGTGGTGTTTATGTCACCAGTCATAAAGCTTGTGTTTGAAATGAGAAACTTCATTTTCAGTATTTATGCATTTATTGCCTTGTACACAGAGCCATAATGAAGTATTCTCATGTGCAAAAAAAAAAAAAAAAAAGTTGGAAAGTGTCATTAGTGAGTGGAGGAAAGATATAGAAGACAACCCCTAGGAAGAAACAAAGGGCAAATGGGGGCGGGGCTGGCTATCTCATTGGACAGTTGCAGGGACTGGAATGGGTGGGGGGTTGAGGAAGGGGTGATGAAGAAGATGGTTTCCTCTAGTTGGATACAATCCAATTGGGCAAGAGGATAATCACTTAGAAGGTCAGAGAGGGGGAAAGTAGCAGGTGGAGGTGCAGTAGTCCAGTGAAAAAGGGGCAGATGCTCATAGCAAAAGGTGGGGCCCCAGGAGAGGGGCTGGATCTTCATGGTGCAGATGCATGGACATAGAAGAACTGTTAGTTGAACTTTACAGACAACCTCTGGGAAGAGAAGTATTAGATAGAGGAAGGCACAGGAGGCAAAAATTAGTGGAGATCAGCTTTGAGGCAGGAAAGGATGTTTTTCTAGATGCATAGCCCACAGAAATACCTAAAAAGTATTGGAATAAAAGAAGGGAAAATGTTGTGTCCATGCCCCTTTAGAAGGTGGGCAACCAGAGAAAAGGCCCTAGTTATCCATACTATCAAAACTCTAGAGATGGAAGATACTTTGGAGGTCATCTAGTCTAACCTCTTCATGTTATAGATGGAATACTGAGGCTCAGTTAAGTGGCTTGTTCAAGTTCACACAGGCAGAGCTGAGATATGAACTCAGGTTTCTGTGATTCCAAAATCAGTGCTCCAAATACTAACACTCTTTTGTCTGTACTATTCTACTTATATATATTTTAAATTTGTTTTATGGTTCTCCTAGAGGCAACTAGGTGGTATGGTGGCTCCAAGAAACTGTAGCATGCACAGCAGCCACACCATGATAAAACCATCTCAACAGATGAACTAAACCAGGTTGAAAGTAACCAAGGGGTCTCAAACCTGTCAGTGAGTTAGGGGGATGTCTGTCCTAAGCATGTGAAGTCATCCCCATCAGAATGGTTGGATGAGAACAATTTGTTCTAATGGCCATGAAGGCAGCTGAAGCAGGCACTGTGGAGCACTTAGAGTTTGGTCAGACATGGAAGATGCCAAGGTCATCCACTGCATCCAGGCCATTGCCAGTCATCTTGACTTTGTCTTGTCACTAGAATTTGATGACTCTGGAACAGAGAATGAGACTGACCATTTTGCTCCACTCTGCCTCACTTAAATCCAATTCACAAGCAAGTCAAGACATCACCCTGTGATGTCATTGATCCATTTAGAAAGGAAGGACAAGCAACAATAGATGGTGTGTGGTTGTGGTTGTTGTCATTGAGTCACTTCAATCATGTCCCATTCTTCTTGACCCCATTTGGGATTTTCTTGGCAAAGATACTAAAGTGGATTGCCATTTCCTTCTCCAGCTCATTTTACAGATGAGGAAACTGAGGCAAGTAGGGTTAAGTGACTTGCCTAGGATCACACATCTAGTAAGGGTCTGAGGCTGGATTTGAACTCAGGAAATTGAATTTTCCTGACTTCAGACCCAGCACTGCACCACTTACCTGCCCCCCATATAAATATTGGTGCTATTATTATTAATTATTATTATCTACAACCAAAAAACTAATCACCTAGTAGATAATTTGTTGGTCAGGAGTCTCTGCAGACTTAAACTGGTACTTGGGTAAGAGACATGGTTTGTTTTCAGACCTGTGCTCAAGGTCTTCCTAAATTGGTAGAAGTGACCAGAGCTTGGTCTCCAGCCCAGGGTTACTTCCACACCACTAGTAGGCATCAGAGGAAGATTTTTGTGAAGGCTGAGTTCCCTGCAAGATTGAGGCAATAGCTACTCTAGAGTTTTCCTTTATTCCAAGAGCTTTTGGGGAATGTAATGGTAATCTCACTATGGAGAGTCTGAGGATGCCCATTGGTCCCTTGTTGAGAGGATAAGGAACAGGTCCTAATTGGGTGCTAGGGACTAGGCATCTCTCCAAGGTGATTGACTTACTGAGACTCTGAGGCAACTCCTCCCCTCTGATCTATAAACATGAACTGACAGACCTGATCAAAACTTTTGAGGCTGCTTGGTACCTTGCTAAACAGAAGACCGGTGGGAGACTACTTTTCTGTGTAGTGATCTGTCTCCTGAACAGGAAAAGGATGTACACGGCAGCTACAAAAATTCATTTTGGATCCCTTAATATAGGTATCCCTTGATTTGAGTTCACTAGTGTTATTCTAAATTCATCAGATATTAAACTGTGGCCTATTACAAGTGAAAATGAATAAGTTATAGTTACAGAACTTTACAAATATTATCTCATTTGATCCTCACAGCAACCCTAGGAAGTAGATGTTGTCATTATCCCCATTTTTACATATGAGGAAACTGAGGCAGATAGCGGTTAAGTGACTTGCCCAGAGCCATATAGCTAATAAGTATCTGAAGCTAGATTTGAACTCAGGTCTTCCTGACTCCAGTTCCAGGGCTCTATCCACTGTACCGGCTAGCTGCTGTCTAGCTTGTGAAGTCTCCTTCCATATTCAGAACCCTACAATCAAATCATGTGCTCATTCAAGATACTAGTCATCTTTCAATATTCTGCTAATTACCAAGTACCAGGAACTCTAAGGAAGCAAGCCAGTGATGGGGAGTCCAGATACTCCCAATATCTACCTACAGATGACTAACTATCCCTGTCTATAGCTTCTAGATAGAGATCTAGAAGCAGCTTTGCCACTAACTCCACTTGTGACCTTAGCAAGTGACTTTTCTTCTTTTGAGTTCAGTTTCCTCAACTCTTAAGTGAGAATGTTGATGTAGATCAACAGTTCTTAGCCTTTTTGTATCATATGGACCCCTTCAGAAACCAATGGACCCTTTTACAGAATAGTGTTTATTGCCTACCTTTGTAATTAAAGAAATGTTTAATTTCAGTTAGAGTTCAGTGAAAATAAAGATTTTTGTCCTATTCAGAGGGTCCTTGAACTTCTGCTTTAGGTGATCTCTAACAGAATGTCTATACATGAATTCATAACATTCCTGGTGATGCTGAGGCGTGTTGTCCTTTGCCACTACAGCATTTCAAAGCCTCATAATGTGAGCACCAAAGCTGGCATTGGTGAATCCTCCAATCTCAATCTTTAATTTATGTTGATATTCTCCTTTTACTAGGGCATCACCAAGGAGATGGACTATGAAGAAGGTCCTGGGGACATCCATTATGCCTCAGTGACCTACATTGGCCCCAGAGAACCGATGTGCACAAACACACAGAAGGCATCCAGCTCGAAGACTATGCAAATGCCCTTTGAGTCTGTGGAATATGCCAGCATCACAAGGGCTGAACATCAGCATCCCAAATCAACAGCCATATATGAGTCAATGGGCAAGGAGAGTTAGTCATCTGTAGGTGCTTAATAAATACATGTTGATTGCTAATATAGAAATATGTTTTTCATGATTCACATGTATAATTGATATTATACTGCTTCCCTTCTCAATGGGTAGGGGAGGGACTAGAGAGGAGAAAATTTAGAACTCAAAAAAATTTTTAAATGAATGTTAAAAATAAATAATCAATTTATTTTTTAAAAATAAAGTCAGCCCAAATAAAAAACATGTTCATTGATTAATTGATCAGAAATATATTGGGGATCTCCTTTGTTGTGAGCCCTGTACCCAGGGTCTTTGGGAGCAGGGATGTAGGAGCAGGGGGTAGGGGATGGAGGAAGACAGTGACAAATTAATAGTTGGCAATTAAGTCTTCATCTTACATTTTCAGTGGAGAGATAAAAACAAGGGACCATTTAAGAATAATTACAGAAATAATATACTAATTAACTTATTTCTTCCAATACATGTTTATGGTGTACCTATTACCGCAGCGGGGTTCTTGCTGCTGCTCAGCAATCCTCCTCTCCTCAAACCACCCTCTCTTCTCTAACTGAAGGGTTCTTGGGCAGCAGGTCTAGCCTTAACATCATGACTACACCTCTTGCTTCTTTGGATCCACTAATGCATAGTAAATATTCAGATTAAAATGTAATTATGAAATATTTAGAAAAATAAATAAAAATATAATAAAACAAATAATGTTAATGTGGTTTTTTAAAGTTGTGTCTGTTCATGGGGATCTTTTATGTACAGTTTAATGGCCTCTGTTTCTATTTGAGTTTAACACCACTGTTCTATCCTATTCACCCCAGTGATTCTTCTAAACTTTCTCTTCTTTCTTCAAACCTCCCACAGCATTTTCTTTCCCTACTAAAAAAAAAAAATTGAGGCTGTTCCTTGTGAACACCCTCTTCTCCTTCTGTCAGTCAATCAGTCAATAAATCAACAAGCATCTATGAAGTGACTACTATGTGCCATATTTAGAGACATCTCCACTCCAAATGTTCATATGGACTATTTGTGCCTGACCTATGTTTGAGCCTGCCAAAACTCATATTGGTCTGATCAGCCACAGTTGGACACACTATACCTTGACCCCAATATGTGATGTCATTTTGGTTTTCTTTAAGAACAGCCAACTATGTGCCAGTCATTGTACTGATTGCTGGTCATACAAATACAATATATGAAATGATTCCTATTCACAAGGAGTTGACAATCTAATTAAGGGAGCCCAGAGGACATATATAAGTATATACAGAATAAATATAAAGAGAATAATGAAGAAGTTAATTACAGTGTAGTTTGTAGGGGAGGGCAGCGGCAGTGGAAAGAATCAGGAAAGGTTTCGTGAAGAAGGTGGTACTGGAGTTTCAAGTTGAAAGAAGAGATAGATGCAATGAGTTGGAGGGTGAGGGAGGAGTGCCTTCCAGGGATAGGGGACATCCTCCTACATCCCTCCGATGTCACCTCCTAACTATTTCCCCTTTTCCCTTCCCCTTGACAAGGTCTGGCCACCATCTCATCCCTCCCAACTTCTCCAACAGATTATTCCAACTATTATCCCCTCTCTTTCTAATCTTTACTATCTCCTTACCTATTGGTTCCTTTCATGCTGCCTAAAAATACAACCAAGTCTCCCTCACCATTTAAAAAAAAAAACCTTTACTAGATGTTACCATCATCTATCATCCTATATCTATCCTCAACTTCTCAGATAAACTTGGAAAAGCCATCTATGTTCAGAGCCTCCATTTCTTCTCTAAATCTCTCCTAAACCCTATGCAATCTGGCTTTGGACTTCATCACTCAGCTGAAACTGCCCTCCCAAAGTTGATATCCTAATGGCCCAGTTGGATGCACTTCTTTCCCTCCTCATCTATCTTTACCTCTCAATAGCATTCAACATGTTAACCACCTTCTCTTTCTGGATTCTTTCTCCTCTTTGAGTTTTCATAACATTACACTCTTTTGGTCCTCCTACCACCTCATATCTATTTAACTACTTTGTATATCTTCATATCTGTTAACTTTATTTTTTACGTTGTATGTATTCTATATGTACTTGTTGTCTCCTTATTACATGTTCCTTTGGAATAGGGCCTGTTCCATTCACAGCAGCTAATACTATGCCTGGCATAGGGAAGGTACTGAACAAGTACTTGTTTATTGATTAATTGTTTGAAACTTGGCTTTCAGATCTTTCTAAAAGAGTAAGACTTGATAATTGGCAGCCATATTTTCCAAGGGCCCTGTTGTTTCAGGGGAGAGGCCTCAGCCCTAGCTCAGTACTCAGAGACCTGACATTTGGGAAGTCACACAGTGACTTCCCTCACATCAATCTCCTCTGAGGTCAGCACTTCTGCTCTCTGTTCCTCCTACTTTGACCATCAGGGTTTTTCACCATTCTCAAGGGAAGCTAGCATAGAATAAGGGTCCCAACCCCAATTACACCTACCCTGGGGCTAGACTGAGGGTTGGGGGCTCCCTTTGTCTTAGTCTTTTGAGAAAAAAAAGACATTAGCAGTGGGGATGGGGAGAGGTGCCTGGAATAGGACTGCAGAGTATGGGATTTGAGCCAAGTCTTGAAGGAAGCCAGGAGACTTCAGGGAGACCATTCTAGGAGTAGGAGATAACCATTGAATGGGCACAAAGTTACAGGACAGAGAAATAAACATAAGAGGAAAAGCAAAAAAACAGGACTTGCTGGATGATTGAGTATGTAGACAGGAGTAAAGTATAAAAATGTTAGAAAGATCAGACAGTTCAAGGTTATGGAGGGCTTTAAATGCCAAAGAGAAGATTTTGTATTTAATCCTAGAGGTAATAGGGAGTCATTACAATATATTGAATAGGGGAGTGAGACAGACACTTTAGGAAAATCACTTTGACATCTGAGGGGAGGTTGGTTTGGAGTAAGGAAAGACTTGAGGCAGGGAGACCAACCAGAAGACAAGTGCAATAATCTGGGTGTGAGGTAATGAAAACCCCAACCAGGGTGGTGGCTATAGAGAGAAGGGAATTAAAGAGATGCCAGAAAAGTAGAAATGATAAGACTTGGCAACAGTTTGAATATATGTGGTGGGTTCAAGATATGAATCAAGGATGACAGAGGTTGCAAGAGTAGGTTGACTGGGGGATGCTCCCAACAATAATAAGAAAGGACAACAATAATAAGGAGCCAAGATGGCGGAGTAAGAAGTAAGTCACTCTTACCCTCCCTTATTGCCCTCTGAAAGCCCAGAAAAGATCACCCCAGGAAAAACCGTGGAAGAGCTGAACCAGAAGAAAGACAGGGAGCAGCAGTCCAGTAGCCCAGGTAGCTAGAGGGATTAACAGGAAAGGCTCCTCTTACCCTGGGGGAAGGAGAGCAGTACAGAAAGGGAGGCATCCCAGCAAGCTAGCAGAAAACCCCACCTCAGCATACCAGGAGGAGATCCTGAAACCCAGGTGGTGGAGCAGGCAAACTCCAACACCAGGAACCCCGAGTGCCTCAGTGAGGGCAGGGGAACCAGTGGAAACTAGCTTGGGAAACTACCAGGTGCCTCAGCATTCTACAATAAATGGGTTTCCCAGTGCCTCAGCAAAGCTAAGAGAAGCAATGCTCCAAGGGGCCCCAGACGGATAAACATCCTGCAACATCCATCTGAAAGGAACTGAAGAAAGAGAAAGGAAGGAAAGACCTGGGTGAGCAGGAAGTCCCCAGGGCCCTACTACCCAATCCTACCCCTAGAGTTCCAGTGTTGCTGATTCCAGCCCAACACCAGGTAAGCTGCCAGAAACCCTACAGCCTCCAACTGCCAGCATTGGAGGCCCCAGCACACAAAGCCAGTAACCAGGCCCTAGGCTCCCAACACAAGAAACTTGGGTCAGTGCCCCCTGCTCCCCAGCAGGAGAGCTCAATGTCTTTAAAGGTCAGGAAATAAGCAAACACCATGAGCAAAAAGAAACGTACGATAGATTCTTATGGGAATAGTGAAGATCAAGGCAGGAATTCTGAAGGGGACAACATTGTCAACACACCCACATTTGGAACCTCAAAAGGGAATATGAACTGGTCTGTAGCACATAAAGCCTTCTTAGAAGAGCTCAAGAAGGATTTTAAAAGTCAAATGAGAGAGGTAGAAGAAAAAATGGGAAAAGAAATGAGAGGTATGCAAGAGAGAGTCAATAGCTTGGAAAAGGAAGGACAAAAATTAACTGTAGAAAACAAGTCCCTAAAAAATACAATTGGCCAAATGGGGAAGGAGGTACAAATTCTAATAGAAGAAAACAATTTGTTAAAAATTAGAATTGGGCAAATGGAAGCTAATGACTCTATGAGAGAGAGAAAATCAGTCAAACAGAAACAAAAGAATGAAAAAAATAGATAAAAATGTAAAATACCTCATGGTAAAACAACTGACCTGGAAAATCATTCCAGGAGAGACAATTGAAAAATTATTGGTCTACCAAAAAAACCACGATGAAAAAAAAAAAAGCCTGGACAGTACCTTTCAGGAAATCATAAAGGAAAACTGCCCTGAGGTCCTAGAACCAGAGGGCAAAATAGCTATAGAAAGAATCCACCAATCACCTCTTAAAAGAGATCCCAAATTGAAAACGCCAAGAAATATAGTAGCTAAATTCCAAAATTACCAGGTCAAAAAGAAAATACTGTAAGCAGCCAGAAAGAAATAATTTAAATATCATGGAACTACAGTCAGGATTACACAGGACCTTGCAGCTTCTGCATTAAAAGACTGTAGGGTGTGGAATATGATATTCCACAAGGCAAAGGAACAATAATAAGAAAGTCAGAAGAAGAGAAGTTTAGAAGGGGGGAGGAGGTAGAGTTCTGTTTTAGGACATGTTGAATTTAAGATGTTTATGGAACATATAGTTAGAGCTGGTTATTCAAGACCAGTGCTCGGGGGAGAGGTTAGGGATATCTATATAGATCTGGGAGTCATCCACGTAGATATGATAATTGAAATCATGGGAGCTGTGAGGACTCCCACCTTAAGACCACTGCTCTTTTCACTCTTCTCTTATTAATAGGAGAC